CTGAACTGAAGCCTCTGGGTACACTCGGTTTCAGTTCTATGAGAATTTACAGGGGTGAATTCCAGGTGACATTGTGGCACAATCGGAAACTGTCCCCAAACCAGATTTGGGAATGAAGTGGTCAGAGAAGACTTCCTGAGAGAGTTGACAAAGTGAGACTTAAGAGATGAGGAGGATTTAATCAGGGAAGTTTTTCCATCAGAAGAAGAAGTGCATATAAGGACCACTCTGTAACGTAATTAGCTTCCAACCAATATAAATAAATGAAAAAAAAAAAAGAAAAACTTGATTTTAGTGGGAAAAAAATTTTTTTCTGTTGGCTGAATGTCTGTGTTCCTCTCCCATTCTTACGTTGAATCCTTAACCCCCATACGATGATATTTGAGTTGAGGCCTTTGGGAGGTAATTAGGCTTAGATGAAGTCATGGGATTGGCACTCTTATAAGGAAAGAAGGACCAGAGCGCTTTCTCTCCATCCTGTGAGGGTACAGCAAGAGAGTGTACCTCTGCAAGCCAGGACGAGGGTTCTTTCTAGAAACTGAGTTGTCTGGCACCTTGATTTTGAATTTCTTTGCCTTCAGAACTTTGAGAAATAAATGGTTATTGTTTAAAAAAAAAAAAACAACAAAAACACTCTCTTTTCATCTTCCACTGACCCTGTGAATAACTGATAGACATCGAAGGTATCCTACTTTTCTATGAACTGAAGTGAAGTGAAAGTGAAAGTCACTCAGTTGTGTCCAACTCTTTGTGAACTCATGGACTATACAGTCCATGAAATTCTCAAGGCCAGAATACTGGAGTGGACAGCCATTTCCTTCCCCAGGGGATCTTCCCAATCCAGGGATCGAACCCAGGTCTCCCACATTGCAGGCAGATTCTTTACTAGCTAAGCCACCAGGGAAGCCAAACTGAAGTGCCAATCCTTTACTAAGTGCATATTCTGGCCTGACAGAGCTATGGGCATCTATTCTCTAGTCTAGCCATCCCCAACATTTTTGGCATCGTGGAAGACAATTTTTCCACGGGCCTTGTGGTGCAGGGGATGGTTTAGGGGTGACTCGAGTACATTTATTACATTATGCTTATTGTGCGCTATATTTCTATTATTATTACATTGTGATAGATAATGAAATAATTATACAACACATCATCACTTGCCACTCACAGATAGGGTTTTGAATGGGCCTGCAAGTCATTGATTTATTATGGTCTCTGTGCGGTCAAGCCTCTCTGCTAATGACAATCTGCATTTGCTGCCTCTCCCCAGTGATGCTAGCACCATTGCCTCAGAGTCACCTCAGATTATCAGGCATTAGATTCTCATAACGAGTGGGTAACCTGGATCCCTTGCATTTGCAGTTCAGAGTAGGGTTCATGTTCCTATGAGAATATAAAGTTGCTGCTGATGTGACAGGAGGTGGAGCTCAGGCTTACGGTAACTTGAGCAATGGGGAGCAGCTATATATACAGATGAAACTTTGCACATCCTAACAGGCCACGGACTGGTGGTTGGCTACCCCTGCTCTAGTCTCAGACAGCCCTGAGAGCTTCCTGGCCTCAGAGCTCTTATTATTATGTATTATAATGGGTTCTTTATTTGTCTGCCCTTCTAGATTAAGAAATCCTTGAGGACCTCTTTCACTTTATCCATAAAGCCCAACACAGACTTTAGTACAAAGAAGAGTTAAAAAAAAGAGTTTAATGAGAGTTGAAAGGATAAAAAACAGGATACAATGATCTAGGGGAAAAGGCGTATTGGTGAATTGAATATATCCCAAAGGAAAGAAATCTATGAATGTGCAAGATACCAGTTCAGAAGCAAATTGGAGAGAAGATACATTTTAATTCCAACAAATTCCTTTCAGTCTCCATTGACCTTGTGCTATTTAATCCATCAAAGACTGCTCCTATCCTTTAATAAATGGCTTCAAAATGTTATTGGTTTATAGGTTCTGGGAATTGAGACAGGTTTATCCAAAATATAATCAATATTAGATTGAAGTTTGATTATGAGATCTGAAACTTCAGAAGTGACCCCCAAAGATGATGAATTTTCTGTATAGCATAGCATATTTAATCGTATTAAATTGTGCCACTAAACTGATGATTCCTATAACTGAATTAAAGTCACTGCCACTACATTAAGTGGTTCTTAGCATTCCAGGTGACACGACTCTGACAAATGAAAAAGACAAAAAAAAATTGGCATTACATTCTAGACTTGCAAAGAATGATATAATGTCACTGCAGGGGATTGGGGAAGGTATTATAAAGAGAGCTCTCCAATAATAATTGGGCTCTAGCTTTGAATGGACCTTGGGCTTTCTTTTTAAGTAGAGGTCTGTATTACAGGACAAAGAGCTTTATCTCTTGTGACGGGAAAGCTAAGAATAACTGCTCTTTATGAGTCATGCAAACACATTCCAAAAAGAGCTTTCTTCTATTAAACATCTGTAACAGCATTTCCTGTTCTTTCCCAGCACCTCAGCCCAGGTAGAGCTGACAGGCAAGCGATAATGGGCAGCAGCTATTTTTATTCTATTGAATTTCATAAAGGAACAAAAAATAATTCACACGGATAAATAATATTCCAGTTCTCTATCTTCAGAGACAAAATGTGGCCAGGAGTGACCTTTGGGGACAGGAACTGTAGAAGGATTCCTTTTTCAGCCTGTAGCTGGTGCCAATATCTCACCAGTTGGAGATAATTCTAGCTCTCTGGTTGAATCCTTATTTCAGCATCTTTTATGGGGATGACCATTTGATGTTGGGAGAAAATGTTTTGCCCTGGGTGGTGTGCAGTCTTTCACAGACAGCTCCCTAATACCATTTTTTCTTCATAAATGAATCTAACTTGCATTATTTTAGAAAGCTGACATTTAGGGTTCAGCATATAATATGAGGACACATTTTATATATTTAAAAATCGGAAAGGATTTGTTTCTTTTAAACAAAATCTTAGATTTCTCCATTAAAAACTGACCAGAGAGGCTACTCCTTAACTCTTTCTTGACTTGGAGAGATTGTGCAGGAGTTGAATGATAATGACTTTTTGATGATGTTGTTGGCTGCAGAATACTCTTGCCCTTCCATAAAGGGTAGGGAGAAGTAGGTAGTCAAAGGTGTTTGTTGAATGAATGAACACCCTTCTAAGAAGAGAAACAACCATTGATATGTTTTCAGCCTGGATGTCCCTGTTCCCGTGTCATGACCTCAGAGTGAAACAAATACAAAGCAGCCTGGCTAGGGCACTATAGTTTCTTTTACTAGTGCAGCAGACCAGCATATTTCAGGCATCTGTTGTACCATGTAAGCAACTGCAGCTGCTTAATAAATCCTCAAATCAGAGATTTTATTTTTTCCTTTACAACCCAGCACGGTGGAGCAAATGGACGGCAATACTTACAAAAATAATTAAAATGGTGCCAGCTTTTACAAGAAAGAGGAGGGGCCCTGATTAGCAAAGACTTGAAGGACCAGCAGCTGCAGCTGCCACTTTGAAGAGACAACAACCTTCCTCACCCTTGAGGGGCAACGGGTGTTCTGTTTGACAGGAACCCTTTCCCAGATGAAAACCCTCTTATGCCTGAAAAGTCAGCCAAACAGGAGAAGAACCCTTCCACAGCAGCTATACTGGCTACTAGGATTTTCTGACTGGTTCCAGTTTTCTTTGCTGTGTTTTCCTGCTGCAAAGAAACAGAAGGAAGGGACTATGCCTGCAGGGCTTTTGATGTAGTGCACAGAATTTTTTTTCTCAGAAAGTATTTCTGTTACCATCTGCATCAAAGTAACATTTTTTTTTTTACATTCAATCTGAGTGCCTTCAATTCACATAAACAATTTGCATAAATTGTTTAATGTCTGTTTTTTTTCACCTCTCACTTGCCACCCCATGTTTCTCAACTAAATACATCTTCTCTTTGAATCCTGTGTTCTTACTTATCCATGTACCCGCCTCCTTCCTTCCTCATCCTTATGTCCAGAAGAGGGAGTAGCAACAGTTTGTGAAAAATTATTGAATTGTCAAATTATTTTTAGGCACAGCTAAGTTAGATAATTTTCAGAACTATGAAATTTGAAAGGCTGGAAGAAAGTGAATATTTTTTTATACCTTTTACCCCATGGGTTTCCACTATAAACTTGGGAAGATGTTGCTTTTGGAGAAGAGAGTCAGTCTTGAAAGATAATTTTTAAAAGTCACACAATAAGTAATTTAAAAATCAGAAATGTGCAATTCTCCCTTGTTAGGGTGGATATTACAGTTCACCATTCATATTTGTGGGTTCTGAGAGTATTCAGAAAAAAAAATTCCAGAAAGCTTCAAAAAGCAAAACTTGAATTTGCTGCAAGCCAGCAACTATTTATGTGTTATAAGTAATCTAGGTATTAGGTATTATAAGTAATCTAGAGATGATTTCAAGTATGCATTAGGATGTACATAGTTTATATGCAAATACTATGCAATTTTATTTAAGAGACTTGAGCATCTATGGATTTTGGTTTCCAAGGGTGTTGGGAGGGGGGCAGGGTGTTAGAATCAATTCCCCATGGATACCAAGGGAGGACTATATCTTGTTTGGATATTCTTATTGACATATTCATCTAGTCTGCTAAAGTAAGTACTTTGCTAAACTATTAGTTTTCTTCTATAGCAGCTGGAAGAGATGGCATTTCAAATGAGGGAATATTTTTCTCATGACTTTTGTGACCACTACCATTTCAGGCAGGCCCTTACATTAATCTGTGCAACCATGCAGTTCATGCTCTGTCTAAAGGGTGAGCTAACTAATGAGGCCTGGGTGTAGAATGTATCTCTCTGTTACCATCATCCAAGTATTTTCATCTTTGTGCAACAGTTATTTATTGAACATCAGCTGAAGTCTTCTAAGGCTCCAGAACAGTATGCAAAAGACGTCCTTCAGAACTGAATATGCTAACGTGATAAACATTTATATTGGTTTCAATTGCAAGTAACAGAAAAATGCAAAGTAGCTTACATCAGAAATAGCTGCTTTGATAAACAAATGAAAGTACATGGGCAGGACTGGCATCAGTTATGGCTGGATTTAGAGGGTCAAATGATGTCATGTCTGTTGGATTAGCTCTGCTTCTCTCTGTGGCTTGCCTTCATTCCCAGACTGATGTGATGGCAAGATGGTTCTAGAAGCTCTTCATATCATTTCTTCTTGAGTGGGAAAGAGTATCTCTTACTAATAATTTCTACAAAAATGTGGGAATTCCTTCTGATGGAAATGTCTTCCCCAAGTCTCTTCTGTAAACTGAACAAAGGAGACCAGATTAGCAGGCTTATGTGGATTGATGAAGCCAGGTCACATGATCAAGAAAGGGAATTCAGTGCTCTGACTGGTCAGACCTGGGTCATGTGACCAGAAAGAAGACTATGTGGTCTGATTGGCCAAACCTAAGACATTTGCCCAGAAAGTGGATTCAGTATGGGTTGTTGTTGTTGTTCAGTCACTAAGTCGTGTCTGACTATTTGTGACCCCATGGACAGGAAGCCCACCAGACTTCCCTGTCCTTCACTGTCTCCCTGAGTTTGCTCAAACTCATGTCCATTGAGTTGGTGATGTTATCTAACCATCTCATCCTCTGTCATCCCCTTTTCCTTTTGCCATCAATCTTTCTCAACATCAGGGTCTTTTTCAATGAGTTGGCTCTTTGCATCTGGTTGTCAAAGTACTGGAGCTTCAGCTTCAGCATCAGTCTTTCTAATGAATATTCAGGGTTGATTTCCCTTAGGATTGACTGGTTTGAACTTCTTGCTATCCAAGGGACTCTCAAGAATCTTCTCCAGCATCACAGTTCGAAAGCAGCAATTCTTTGCTGGATAACATTCCCCGGAAGGGAATTCAGTCCTTGGATTCCCCAGGCATATGTGAGTACTTACTATATTCTGGACCTAGTTCTGAGCACTTATATGCTTTACCTCTTTTCATCTGTTTCTATCATAAACTCTGTGAGGTGGTTATAACTACTATATGCATTATATATTTAAGAACTCAAAGTTTCAAAATTAAGTATTCTGCCTTAGGTTGCACAGTTACAAGGAGGTAGAGCCAGGATTCGAGGGACAATGTCTGATTCTGGAGTCTGCTCTCTGAAGCAGTATGATATTCCATGGCTCAAACAACAGTGACAACACCAGAAAAGCTACTTCTTGTTGGGTACTTACTATGCAAAGGCTTTATGTGGATTATGAGCAAGGTGCTAAATCTGCTGGGCAGAGCACAGCAGCTTAGTTTCCTAGAAAGGCTTTACACATACACAGAAGTAGACACAAGAGCTGAAACTTTCCTTGGAGTGAAGGAAGTCGAGGGACATACTTTACATACTAGTGCAGAGTTCAGCCTTAGGGAGCTGTTTTCAATAACAGAAGGATATATGCCTGTTTATGGGTTGAGAAGGGGTCAAGAGAGGCAGCAATTGATAATGCAAAAGAAAACAGGGAGTTGTTTATGCAGCCGAATCTCAGGAGAGGTGGGAGGGAATGAGACTTGGAGCTTTGATGGAGGTTTCAGCCTTGGATAAGAAGGACACCCTTTCTACTGAGACAGAAGGAAAAAAAGGAAGACTAGGACAAAGGGAATAGATAGGTTCTTTGTTGAAGAAAATATATTTCTTCACATTTATGTTAAGAACACCCAACTCTGTGAGTAATAAATGAAATTGCATTTTTATTTCTGCTTTTGTTCCATCCTCTTCAACATCAGGAATCAGTTGACAGCACCAAATCACCAGGTTTTTGGCTAGTGTTACACATTTTAAATCAGTAGCATTTTTAAGGCATTTATTATGTTCCATGATGAAATTCTTGCTTAATTTGCTTGCTTGGTTATTTATTAACTTTGAATAGGTATTTTAAAAGTGCTTTCTTTTTGTTATTCTGGTGTTTTTATACTATTTCATATTATTTTATTTTATTGTGAATGTCCACAAAGCACTAGTTTCACAATTTATTACAGAATAATGTATAGCTTGTTATTCATAGAACTTATGTACATAAATTAACATAAAGTGGGAAAATAGCATGTTTCCAAGAATGAGATAGAATAAGCTAACTAATTAGATACAGCTGCAATGTAGATAATTTGGCAACTGGAAGTGACAACCCATTACTTTATAATTAATTGACTTAGACCTTTTTAAAATTAATTAGTGGAGAAGTACAGCTGGGCAAAGATTGATGCCCAAGAAGGCTTTGGTACTCCCATCAGAAATCAAGGTCAAGCAAGTGATTATGGCTATTCCACCTTCTATTGCCTGTTTAGCAGTAATTCAACTAGCCAGTTATTGCTGAAATGCTCCCTGTCTTCTCCAGATTCTGTTGAGTCTCCCAGTAAATCTACAGATAGCTATATTTTCTAAATAGTGACTTGTTCTAATTATAGCTCTATTGTCCTGTAGACATTTAAAAAATATGTACCACATTGAGTGCTTAATATTCACCAGGCCCTTTGATGAACCACTTATATACTTTATTTCATTTTTCCTCACAGGATCCCTATGAATTAAGCACCTTAAGAAATGGCATAATATAACACTGAAAGGCAAGATTAAAAAACCTGACCTCCTAGGTTGAGCCCCCAGTCCTGCTATTTACTGCTGTGTGACTCTGGACAAATTACCGAACCTCTCTGTCAAGTTTCCTTATCTGTAAGATGGTGATGATAGTATCTTATAAGTATATATAGATTAAGTTAGATAATCTAAATAAAACGTTTAAATAAAATAAGTCTGTCATGTAGCTATAATTACTTTTTCCCATTACCCCCTGTCAATAAAAACATTTTTGAGTGCTAACCCTTTTTAAAATATTTTACACATATTAACTGACTTAACACTTTCCAGAATCAAATTCCCATTTTACAGATTAGGTAACTGAAGCACAGAGAAGACTGATAAATTGCATGATATCACCTAACTATTAGTAAAAGAACCAGGATTTACAGGCATCCCTTGGAGATACTGCAGGTTTGGTTCCAGATGACTACAATAAAGTGAACATTAAAATAAAATGAGGCACATGACTCTTTTGGCTTTTCAGTACATATAAAAGTTGTGTTTACAACACACTGTAGGCTATTAGGCTTCCCTCATGGTTTAGCAGTAAAGAATCTGCTGGCAATTCAGGAGCCACAGGGGATGAGGGTTTGATCCCTGGGTCGGGAAGATCCCCTGGAGAAGGGAATGGCAACCCACTTCAGTATTCTTGCCTGGAGACTCCCATGGAGAGAGGAGCCTGGTTGGCTACTGTCATGGGGCCACAGAGTCAGACATGACTGAAGTGACTTAGCATGCATGCATGTAGCTATTAAACATGCAGTAGCATGTTGTCTCCAAAAACAATGCACAGGCCTAAAAAATCATGCTATAGGAAAATGGTGCCAATAGATTTGCTCAACACAAGCTTGCACACGTGCCCACTCACTTGTCCAACTCTTTGCAACCCTATGGATTGTAGCCTGCCAGGCTCCTCTGTCCATGGGATTCTCCAGGCAATTACACTGAAATGGGTTGCCATGCCCTCCTCCAGGGGATCTTCCAGACCCAGGGATTGAACCTGTGTCTCCTGCACTGCAGCTAGATTCTTTACCACTGAGCCAAGGGCGAAGCCCCTTTGCTCAACACAGGGTTGCCACAAATCTTCAATTTGTTTAAGAAGAGAAAAAAACGCATATATCTGCAAAGCACAATAAAGTGAAGCACAATAAAATGAGCTATGCCTGTCTTTTCAGAAAGGTTAGCTTCAAAGATTGTGCTTTTCACAGTGGGCCTGCTGCGCTTGCCCCAATAAAAGCAATTCAAACCTAAAAAAAAAAAAAAAAAAAAAAAAGAAAATAAAAGCTTGGGCTTTTAACTACAGTTAATCTTGTTAATTCACATTAACAGATTCAACCAACGGCTATTGGAATTTCCACAGAACTCGCAGATACTGAGGGCCAACTGTATGAAGGCAATTTTAATAGAAGACTTTCCCATCCTTGCATTTGGGTATCTGCTGTGGTCTTGGAACTAATACCCCATGGACACGAAGGGACAGCTGTATTCTACTGAGGCTGTCCCATTCTGTACAACACCATCTGTATCCTAGACACTCTAAGCAAAAGGCGGTTTCCAGAAGTAGGGTTCTTTTATGACTCAACACAGGAGCTCTTGGCCTGCAATGCTCTGTGGCCCTTGCCTACTTCTTGCACACCTACTCAAGCTTACATATTTAGCAATGACAATAAAATCACCCCACCTAAGAAACTTTGCATAATGTTCTCATAGTGGAGTTCTTTGTCTTCTGACACCACAGAATCCTATGCTTATGCCTTTTATAACATTCTTAGGTCAATCTGTTAGTCAACTAGTCAAAAAATATTCGTCAATGATTTCTTCAATGACTTACCACTGATTTTCCTTCCTCAAGGAGCTTACGCCCTGGTACAGTATGAATTTGAACCTGTGAGGTAATAAAAAATTAAGATAACTTCAGACATTGAAAATGGACTTTTGGAGAAGATAACAACGAGTGAGTGTAGACCAGGATTGGGTGTGCTGCTTCAATGGGTGGGTTGGAGATGAGACTTAAACTGCAGGAGGCAGCCAGTCATATAAAGGTAAGTGTGGAGAACATTTCAAAGAGACTGACCAATAAGCTCAAAAGCCCTTTTGTAGGATCAGGGTTTGCCGCACTTGAAGGACAAAAAGAAATGGAATGCAACTAAGAATAATATTAATGTATGAATTGCATTTTTATTTGTATGTTAATTTTCCTACCTAAACTGTGAACTCTTTAGGATTAAGGCTATGTCCCACTGTCTGTGAACCCCTAGCATTATTTATTTCCTGGACAATGGTCTCTTTGGCTAACTGGTTGAATCAGTGGTTGACACAAGTGAACTATTATCCAAGATGTCTTACTTCATCTTTTGCTTCTCTTCTTCCTGCTTTTTTCATACGTGTTACTCTTCTGAAGTGATTTCTATGATTCCTTTTTCTTTTTCTCTAGTATCCTCTCCACATTTCTGTTTTCTTTTGGTCCTGCCTTAGCCCACATCTATTTTCCCATCCTGTGACCTATTTTGGTCCAGGTAATTCCACCTTAAACTACAGGGGTCTAGCGGTAGGTAGGCTCTTTGGAGAGGGGATAAAGATGGTCATACATCTCTCACCTCCCCTTTCTCTGAAGCCTCTTGCATAGACTCTAAAGGAATCCTAACATTTTGGGGTCAACACCAAAGCTGAAAACATAACACAGTCCTGAGATCCTTTTTTTGAAAAAGCAGCAAAAGAATGCAAACTCGTTTTCTTTTAAGCCATTGTTCTGGATGCTGGGCTTGGAAGAAAAAAAGAATAAGGTGAGCTACTTTGGTGTTCCTGCTCACCTAGTGTGAAGTTTTATTGCTTGATTGCTCTTAGAGACTGAGGTTAAAGAAGTTTAAAAAAGCAGAAAAAAAAAAAAGGAAAAGCCAATTTTAATAGTTAACTATAAAGGATTCCTTGAGTTGCTTTTCTTCCATCTGAGAGAGAAAAGAAGCAACTCTGTGCCTTTGTCTTGCAGGGCAGCTTTCTTCTGCTCCCCAGGAGTTTATACTGCTTTCAGGAGGAAAAGATAACCAAGGGTAGCTCAAAGCTCCCCTGGGGCCATAAAGGCCATCTCTTCAGTTGCTAATCAGCTGAACCCACAAATCTTAGATAATAAAGAACTGAGCATAGTGCCAAACTCAATATAAACATTCAGTAGAAGTGGTGATTATTTTGGCCATTAGAATAAAGAGGTAGAAAAGAACAAGGTAGCTATGAATCAGAGTACATGAACCCTCGTGGACTCAGCTGCTCATCCTCGGCTGGAATGACCTTGCCAGGAATTACAGGCTTCTGTACCCACCACAACTGTTCAGGTGGATGCCTGAATGGTCCCAGGAGGCACAAAAATCCTAACTTGGAAAGATCAGGCATGAATCCTCTTATTTGCCAATGTCATCACAAAGAGGAATTTAAAATAAATAAATAAATCTCTAGGAATTTCAAGGGGCAATAAGAGAAAAGGAGAAAGAAAGAAATCAAATTTAATTTGAAAAGAAGTGCCTTCTGTGAGTCAATGCTGTGTGAGGCTTTCTTGGGAGATTGGGGAGAAAAAAGGAAAAAAGAGGAAGACCTAGTGAGCCCATTCTACTGGCCTGGTTACAGCGACCTCACATGGAGAAGGAGAGCCCCACGTCCCTTCCCACTTCTGGATTTGTTACTATTTTGCACTCTTAACACCTGCCAATAAAGATTGTCTACACTGGAAAAAAAACAAAAAACACCAAAAACTCCCCCGTCACCACCTAACATTTCAATATGGGAGCAGAAATTTTAAAAAATAAGTTTCTTATTTGCAAATGGGCACATACTGTATTGAGGAGAAAGGGTACTGAAAGCTCCCTGTATCATATAAAATGCAGGCACAGTGCTCGCTAACATTTACTGTACAGTCAAAGAGAGTGTGCCATTTCCAACGTGAAGGGGAAAATACGCTTGCTATCTATCTAACCTGGGATGATTTACTTTCACCTCTCTGCATGCTTTTTCTCATCTCTCAAGTGGGAATAAGAACAGTCGCCCCTCATAGAGCTGTCAGCAGTAAATGAGAAAATGCACATGGGCTCACAGCTGAAGGTCAGGAGCTTGATAAGTGGCAGTTTTTATTATTATTAGCCAAGATTACTTTCATGGATCTTTCTTTATAAAAATTCATTTCTTTTCTATACAGTAGGTCCTTGTTGGTTATCTATTTTAAATATAGCAGTATTTACATGTCAATCCCAGACTCCCAATAACTGAATCACTTTGCTGTACATCTGAAACTAACACAACACTGTTAATTAGCAATACTCCAATATAAAATTTAAAAAAATCATTTCTTTTCAACCTCTTAATGGGTTTGCATAAAGTCAGTTTTGTCCTTACCAAACCATTTTTAGATGACAAGTTGCCCATTGAGACATAAGGGTTAAGACATTTATTTGGAAAGGGCTCTTAAGTTTTTCAATGGAAATCTATTTGTTTTTTTTGTTTGGGAAGCAAAAGAAGATGTGGATGGTAAAAAAAAATTGACTGGTTTCTCAAATGGACTTCAGAATTGATATCCTTACTTTCCTGGTGGCTCAGTGGTGAAGAATCTGCCTGCAATGCAGGAGACCTGAATTTGATCCCTGGGTTGGGAAGATCCCCTGGAGAAGGAAATGGCAGCCCATTCCAGTATTCTTGCCTGGGATATCCAAGGATAGAGAAGCCTGGCGGGCTAGTCCACAGGGTCACAAAAGAGTCAGACACAACTTAGCAACTGAACAAGAGCATTGATCTTCTCACTCCACGGATGAGCAACTCTGAGAAAATCAGACGACATAATTAGTTAAAGCAGATAGCCAGGCATCAGGAACGGAGGCCATTTCTGCCTCTCTTACTGGTTCGCTGGGCAAGTCCCTTCAACTCACTGAACGTGTTTCTCTCAGCTTCAAAATGAGAATGACAAGACTTTCTACCCACACAGGGGTGCTGGGATGTTAGTTAATTGATGTTTGCATTATATTGGGAGATAAAAGACACTATGGAAATATAAAGTATATGAAAAAGAACAAAGGTATTAAAAGTGACTGAGGGTGCAGGGGAACTAATGGATACATTGGGCAACAGAACATGGATGATAATAAAGTTGGTGCAACACCCAGTCATTGTATTGATACTAGGGTTTGGAGGAGCTCATTGAAAACAGTATCTTCTGATATGCAATCATTTCTGAGTATTGCAACACTTTTCTTCTTTTCCAAATAAATTCTGACCTTAAAGATGGGAGGTACTTATCATAATTAAAGCTAGGTCTTTCCCACTCTTTGGTGAATTAAGGTGACCTTCGTAATTCTAATCCTTGATGCTGTGAGTATCCTTCTGATGATGCTTATTTTATTCTTATGGATTTTTTCTAGGTCAGAGACTGTCTATCCAGGAAAATTAGCTAGATAAAAAGTTAATAAAATGTTTTTAAGAAGTCAGTCTTTTTCGTTCTCCAATTCAGTTTAGAAGCCAGTTGGACTTTATTTCTGCTCACAGCAATAAAAATGAACTTAATCAAAGTGACTACTTTTTTTTCCGGTTACTATTTCTTTTCTGTTCCTATTCCTGAGCCATCTGGTTTGACAACCATAAGAGCTAAAATACTTTCCTTTGCAGTCTTTAGAAATGCCCCCTAGAGGCAAATAAGCATTTGGCAGAACCAGTAAATAAAAGTATAAGAGGATGTTTCCTGCTTGTTCTTTTTAAGGTGCTGTGTGAAAGAGGGCAAGAGGTAAGAACAGCTGCTGTCTACTTGGCAGATTTACAGAGACTTTTCCAGGGGGGCAAATCATTTGCAAATCCCAAAAGAATTTGATCTCATTTCCATTCTACTGTAAATAAAGTAATAGCACCTTGTTATTCAACTGTGTGTCAGTGACCTTGGATAATTTTAAAAGTGTGCAGAAATCACCCTTCACTCTAAAATACATGTGTTACTGCTGACTTTCCCCACCCCATCCATCTTTCTCATCAGCTTTACCCATGTCTTTTGCTGACTAAAAACATCCTAAAGAATAAGACTTTTGAGGGGCCCTGGGTGAGGTCTGAGAATCAAACACACTCCACTCATTCAAAAATATATTTTTTGAATTGACTTGGAGAATGGCTGTTTTGTTCTAAAATCATAAACTAGCATTTGATGACATTTTATAGTTTACACATTGTTGTACTTTTTATACTATATATTGATCGTATCTCATTAATCTTTTCCATAAATATATTAGGATTACAGAGATCAGAAATCAAAATAAAATCAGAGATTAAGCAAACAAGACACACTTGAGCTTTTGCTTCCTTGGTTTTTGCACAGAAAAAGTTGAGGGTTCCTTGGAAGCTAAAAGCCAATTGGTCTTTCTTCAAAAAATGCTCTGGGTAAATGTCAGGAGAAGATGCTGGAGGAACACGGGAAGACCTAAGATCAGAAAGGAGGGGTTTGTGATTTGTCATTTCCCTCAACAGTGTACAATATATTGAATTTGTTTTTAAAATTCGCTCCACCATGGGATTTTCCAGGCAAGAATACTGGAGTGGGTTGCCATTTCCTTCTCCAGGGGATCTTCCCAACCCAGGGATTGAACCCAGGTCTCCCACATTGCAGGCAGACGCTTTACTGTCTGAGCTACCAGGGAAGCCCAATGGACAAGCAAATTATACATCCTCCCATCCCTCCCCCAGGCATGCATTTTTTTTTTCCCTTCTGGTAGCAAGGGACAGTAACACTTAATTTCTGCTTATTAGGAGTTGCTCTCAGGATGGCTCACTTCCCCAGGGGAGAGCTTGTGTAATGGGTGACATAGAATCACATTCATAAATTCACTGTGATTCATCTCAGTGCTATTACAAATGGCAGGCCCTCCAAAATTA